AGCTGCTATTCAGGCACAGCTAGTATATAGTATTGTTTTGAATTTCTTTTTCAATATTAGCTAGATGTGTTCGCATAAGCAGGCTAGCATTTAACTTGCTACATATATACATAATAGATGTTGTTTCTTTCACAATGTATACCATGTTATATACAATATCAAATAAAAAAATGATGCTTACCTATGAGGGGAAACCCCTCCAAAAAAACAATTATATTTATTTTATTTAATATTTAAATTTATTGTATATAAAAGTTGTAAAGTTGTAAACTTTTTAAAAACTTTTCTAACAATAAAACATAATTCTTTAATATTTATAAATTATAAATATATTAGTTTTTAAAATTTCTTTTCAATATTATGAATTTCAATAAAACTTTATTTCAATTAAAATTCATATTTAAAAATTAATCTCAAATATAAAAACAAATTCAAATATATATCTTGGATAAATAATTTGATATTTAATATTTTTATTTTAACCTTATATGATACAATAAGTGAAGTAAATGTATTCTGGAAAAATTAAAAGTGTATTCGATAGCAATGAAAATTCAATAAATATTAATCTGTGATCATAATGATAAGAATTTTATTAGAATATATATACAGTGAATCCTCTCTAAATGCACATCTCTTTTGATTTAAGATTATTTTTAAAAAATGCGCATTTAAAAGATAATTTTATCAAGAATTTTATGTACTTGTGACCAAGTTAAGTAAATTTATAAAGGGGGAATTTATGGAGGTCTCTCTGTATTAAGTTTCTTAATAATAACAAAACTGACTTAAAATTGTGGTGTTTGACAAATGATTAAATACTTTTTGGCGGCTCCCGTGATCATGGTTTTATACAGTGGTATGCTAAAGTAAAATACAGTAATGGTCATTGAATCCAAATTAGGGTGATTTTATGCAAGATATATGCTGTAATCATAACTTGTCGAAAACTTTCTCTAGGCATTATTTAAGAGGACATTTAGGTACAAATTACCATTGGAAAGATTCCGATTCTTATTCACAAAGCTTCGGTGAGGAATTGTATATTAATTTATACGAGCGTAATATATTACAGTATGAAAATATCAAAATTAAGAATTATCTTATGAGAATAATGCAAAAATTGATTTTATCGTAGTTTAAAGACAATACATGTTTTGTGTCTTCACTTGACAATTAAGATAACAAATTTTTAGTCTTTCTTACCGAATTAACTAATATTTGTACTATCGTACCAAGAAAATATGTTGCAATCGACCCGTGATTTATCTCATCACATTCCCGGTTTATATTTATTAATCGACTTGCAAAAGGATGAAGGGTCAAATGGTCTTGGTATATTTTACTATTTAATTAAATAAATTTCGAAGTATTTAATGACGCTTTACAGTATTAACATTATTCTATTTTAGTTGACAAATTTATCATTTCGAAAGAATAATTAAAGGAGTTTTGCAATAAAATGGTCCCTTCAAGTTTTAAATCATTCTCGGACGTTAACTATTCGGCGTTAAATTCAGTTTCGTTTAACCTAGTTGGTTGTTACGGAAATCATTCGTTAATTGCGAAACTCTTATATAAGCAACAAATAATCAACAAAAAAATGCAAGTATTTTATTTGACGCTTACAGTAAGATGCCTTGCAAAAGAAAGATACACACGAAACGGCCTATTTAATACAATATTATACTATACCTTAGATATAATTTACTTGAAAATTCACAATCGCCTATAGGAGAATTTTACATGAGTCCTGGAATTTATTTGCTTGTGATTCCTCCACTAAGCTTAGGTTTAGTTATTCATTGGCCCGAACCTGGATGTTATGAAGAAAATATTTCATCTCAAAGAAAGAAAAATATGATAAATTTACACAGGTTAATTAACTTTGTATTTGCTGGATTATTTTAAAAATAATGCTAACTACTTAAACGTCGCGTGCACACAGATATCTTACTAGACTTACGGACCATCAACTCTGTTTAATGAGTGAATTCGACCTAGAATGTTTTATTTGGAATTCGGAGAATGACGGAAAAGACGATTCTGATGAGGAAAATGAAGGTGTCTACTATGAATATGAAGTGAAAAAGAGTCAAGAAGAACAAGAAGATTTTGAAATATTTCCAGGATTTCAGGTAGTAATTACACATTAGGAGTATTGTTATTTATAAATTTTTTTGAAAATTTAGGTCCTTGAAAAACTTCACAATATTCGTATCTAAAACAAAACTAGATTAATTTGCCGCAACAGATAATTTCAGATATTCGTGATGGATATCCTTTGCAACCTACTGGTATGCCAAAATTAAGTCATATAAATTTCATAACATAATTATTTATAATTAAGTATTTTTAGTGGTTGAATCTGTAACTAGTCAAACACTAATTACCAAAAAGAAAATTAATGCTACATCGAAAATGTTTCTAGTTGCATTTGAAACTAAGTATAAATATTTTAAAGAAGAATTTAGTAAAAGACTTTATGGATATGCTTTACGTATCAGCAAAAATATGAGCATCAAAAATCTAGAAATATTGATTAAAAACGGATTGCCTGAAATGGAAGAAGAGCTACTCGATTCTTACAGAAAGAAATTAGAAGATGTTAAGATGCAAATAGAGCTTAAGAAAGCGCAAGAAAGGGGCTCTATAAAAGAGGACGCAGAAATTTTCACTAAATATGTTTGGAAAAAATTAAGACAAGAATACATGTATGGACCTCATTATATTGTAAAATATATAGAATCTTTATAAGTTTTTATGTAACCATTTTTTTTATTTAAATAGTGAATTTGAACTGCTAATTGATAAAGAATTAACCAATAATTCCGCTACGCCACAAGTTCCTGATGATGAGACTATGAAACAAAGTAAGTGAATATATTATAACTATGCATTATTTTTTAATCCAATTTAAATAGATTATCTTATATAATTCACAAAGGCATCGAAAATATCAAATGTAAACATTCTGTTAAATGTGATCAAATAGAAGAAGCTTTGAAGATAAATTCGAAAAAATGGAAAGAATTAAAAAAACGATACATTTTATTAAAAGATTTTATACAAAATGTATATAGTGAAAATATTAGCATGGATCAAGGTGGAGACACACAGTCGCAATTGTCAAATGAACAAGTAAGGCAATCGATGTGTCAGGCAGTATTTGAAATGTTCATGGACGAAGAATTGGATTACTACAGACTCATCAGGAAATATTGTTGGTCCCCATATCAGAAAAGAATGAAAAAAGTTTCTTCTCCAATGGAATTGTGGACATACCTAGTTCGAATTGCTAACTCCAAAGCTAATATCACTGAAAACTATGTAGAATCATTAGTTATCACAACAGCTGACAAAAAATTTATTAAGGAAATTACTTCAATAGAGTTTGAGTCTCTTTCCAACCAAAAACATGAACTTACTGATATTTTTCTGAAGGAATATAAAAGGTGGAGGAAAGAGATCTTTCCTAAAAATATTCAGGAGATTGTTCCTAGATGCGATGGATCTTATATGAGAGAAGTTACTAAAAAATTTGATTCAGAATATTTACGTTCTAAAGAAATAATCGAAGAGGAAGAATTTAATGGAATATGCAAAGAAATAGAAAATAAGTTTCCTACAGGGTAAGCTGCTTGTTGATATGAGTTTTTTAATACTTACATATTATAATAACCACTTTATTTTACAATAGGCCTATCTTAATGATAATAAATTTAAACGGTAAATGTTATACGTATACTAGTACATTTAAAATAACATAACATGTTATCTGAGAACAATTATTTCCATAGAAAGGGGAATTTTTTCTAAAAGATATTATGTCTCATACGAAATCGAAACCATCCAGCCTGATCAACTTAGAATTACAATCTATCCAACATCGATTGGTGAAAGAGATAACCTTCTACTTTCTGAAGATATCCCCACACCAAAATTCAATAAAAATAGCGATGATTTCGGAAATTCTTTCCAAATAAATCTAGAAGCTCATGAAATTAGGTAAAACTACTGTATGTGAAAAAAATTGTTTATTTGAACATTATTAAATTTTATTAACAGTCTTACATATAGGAATATTTCCCAATTTGAAAACAAATTTTTTCTCGCACTATGGAATAATAAAGAAAATCAATTGGAGATATATTTTGACACTGCATCTCGACTATCATTATCCCTTCAATCTGCTCCATTCAAAATATTATATCCAGAGAAAAGCACCCTTATTTCTGTAAATGAACCTAAGAGGTTAATTGGTCTATATGATATCAGTTCGGGAGTTGTAAGTAATCTTTGTACAATCAATTAGAATTATTTATTTGATATAAGATTTTATTTATTAAAAATAACTCTTAATTTTAGCTAAATATTTATGCATTTGATGAGAAATTTGTTAAACTTCTTCCGAGAATCATTAATGTTCAACTAGTTCAGTGGTATGATAATACGGTACCGAAAATTCAACAATTTTTCTTTCTCAAAAATACAGAAGATATATGTTTTGTTGAGAAGAATGGTCGCTCCAGAGTTTATATGATAGCCTTAAATCAATTTCGACCTGGTTTATTGCTATTGCCACCAGATTCCTTCAAAGTTCTAAGTACACCCGATGGAGCATGTATTGTGGCTTTCACAAAAGATATCGTGTTAGAACAGGAAAATGAAAACAAAGATGCTAACGGTAGCCCCGAAGAAACATATAGTTCTTATGAACCCCTAAATAGAAACGACTATAATCCAGAAAATCAAGTAAAAACGCTTAAAGCACACGTATTTTTTTGCGCAAATTTCGGTAGCCCAGCAAATAAAGGTAGGATATATTTAAATTCATTGTATTGTATTTTACATGATTATGGAAACTACATAATTATTTATTGTTACTATAGTTATACCTATGCCAAAATATATGCAATCTGTTGAGCATTTTCAATTCTCTTGTATCAAGAAACAACAAATACATCTTACTACCATCGATGTAATTAATGGACGGTTTTGTTCACTGATTACTAGGGTTGCACTTGAAAAAAAGCCATACAGGTTTCAGCAAAAGTCTAGCAAAAGATTAACGGAAAAAGAACTCAATAATTATGTCAACGTGTATCAATACACGTTTGAAAAATATCCAACTTACAGCTGTATAGATATCGAACAAAATAAATCTCCAAGCTTAACTATGGTCTTGGATTTGTCCACCAGCAACGTTAATGGTTATGAGAGAAAATTCAGAGATTATGTTAATGACATGTACGAAGAATTAAAACGTACTGTAGAAAGATCAGCAATTAAAATCGGTAACTTTAAAATGACTTAAATTCTGTTATCATTTGTAATAATTTTTAATAGAAATATATAATGTTATTTAGACGTAATGGCTTATTCCGAACTTAATATAAACGACCCTAACTTTAATAAAAAAAAGACATCAAAATTTAATATCGGAGAATGGATTATTCAGCTTTTTTGTCTAATTCCAATTCAAATTGCGGTTGCTCGAAACAATGTGTTCCAACCCCTTCAAGATGGGCTAACATCAAATGATAATAGTTTCCTTCATCTTTATAGTATTGCTGAAAATATTTCATTTGGATGGTATGAAGGAATATTTCGGCATTTTGGTGACCGTAAGGTTAAAGTAATTTCTAACATGGGCGAGTCTTCGTGCGGAAAATCATACATGGTATGATACAAAAATACTGTATACAGTACTTAGTAATCAAATTATCAACAGATTGTTTTTTCTTTTGTCAATTAATTTTTTTTTCCTTTAAGTTAAATCACCTTTTAGGAACTACGTTTGATGTATCCGTACCGGCAAGTATTCGCCCACACAATAAATATGTCTCCTGGTTTAATTATCCTTTTAATTTTACGTAAATTTAATTTTAATTAGAGATGCACTGAAGGTGTCTGGATGTCAATGGGTAAACATTAAATATAAGCATTGACAAGACGTAATCATTATATTCACTAAATTGTAATTTAAAGCCGTTACGCCACAGTGTATATACGTAGCCTTAGATTTTGAAAGCATAAAGTCCCTTGAAAGAAGTTTACAAGAAAGTAAGCAAATCTAAAGCCCACTATATTATTTTATGATACTAGATATTAACTTCTTACTGTACTATAATTTGTAGACTTGTTTTTGACATTATTCAATACTATGACATCAAATCTCGTTCTTTTTAAAGTAAAACTTGAATTTTTTTTACTCGAAAAAGAAATAATGTATTTTATAATACTTATCTACTTGCAACCTTTTCTATTACCGTAAAAAGAACAAATTTGTGGTTCATCGGGATATGTCAATTTTTCAAAGATTTTGGGATAGTACCGATATATTAAAAGATCCCAAACTGTTTAAGGTATTGTGTATCAAGTAATTAAAAATTACGCTAAAATGACTGTATGTTCTTACGACAAATCTATATACTGTATTCACACAGGCAAAACTATGCGTCATAATCCAGGACGTTCCAAAACAATATAGAGAAGATATTGTTCGAGAATTTTCTTTAAAGTTTAACCCCATGATCGCTCAGGTATTTGCGTCATATTTGTTCTATGAATACTGTATTGAGAAATATCATTAAAAGTCTCTTTATAACTCAAGGGAGGAGAAGACAGTTTTATAACTCGAATGTTTCCAAGTGGCCTTATGATAATTCCTTGCCCGATTTTTTATAAAAAAGAAATGTACCAAATTTAGTCTTGCATTTTTTATTTGATTTTTTAGATTTCCAAAATTAACATATTCTTCCTTTTTTCCAGGGTCAGCATCTTTGAGATTTCTAATTACGTTACTACACTCACTAACACATATCCTTTTTTTTTTGTGGATTAAATTATGAAATTTTCATAGTTGGTATGTGTCTATAATTATTTTAATGGCAATGTACATTGCATTTACTGTCGTTTAAAAGCAATACGAGAAAAATAATACAAGTAATACAAATTGCTATTTCATAGGTTTACAAACCTAAAAATTCTTAAAAATATACTAGAGAAACAAGAAGGAAAATACACAAATGCACAAACCTTTTTACAGAACACTAAAATTATTATGGCAAAAATTAAGGTAAAAAACATACACAAATTATTTTTTAATAGGTAAATACACATTAACTAATTTTGAATTTGGTGCATATTCTATTAGACATGCAATTGGGGTTCTTTGAATAATAATTTAGTCGAAATTCGTGTGTCTGCTTTAAAGAGATTGCTCCCAATGGCCATATTCATGGGTGTAGAAAAAAAGGATCCAACAATTATGAGCTTAATGGTATGTGTTACATTATTCAATGAACAAACGATCGTTTATTCTTAATTAAATATACCGTATTTATGTTTACAGAATCATAATACAGGAATAAAAATAGATGACTCTGTGATCGAGTTACCTGAAATATCGGAAGATTTCGATAATCATAGAGAAATTCTTTCAGATGAGGGCATATTGCTTTTCGAAGAAAACACCGATTTTGTACGTTTATCTACAGATTTGAGAACGTACTTTGAACAAAATATACAGCAAAGAAAAGATTGTTCCGATGATACAAAATGGTTTAAGAGACTAGATCTATTTTTCAAATGTATTGTTGATCGACGAACTTCGAGAGTCATAGAGTGGTTTGAACAAAATACCTGTAATTTTTCACAGGATCATTATGACATCCAAATTGGACGTTATACCATGGAGCGAGAAATAAGCAAGATTACTATCACCTGGACTTTGTGTGGAATGAATTGCTCCCATTGTAGACTCCAATGCATAAAAAACTGCGGCCATGAGAAAGAACACGATTGCTTAACGGATCATAAATGTCACTTTCCATGTCAATTTCTGGA